GAAAGTTCCGCGTTGGTTTTGTTAAAATTAATTTTTTCCCCGTGAAGAAAGACATTCCGGGATGAAGCAAATTAGATCAACACCCATATATATATATATGATTTCGGTGTTTAAAGAGGTAAGCAGTCAACTGCATGGCAGCTTGCGGAGGTGATCCACCAGGACGCTCTTCGGCAATGCCTTGACCTGTACCCAGGCAGGACGGAGGTGATTTCCGATCTGTTATGGAAACGGTTGGAGACGGTATGAGACGGTTTTGGGCCTTTTGCACCCGAGCTCGTCTGTCAGAGTTCCTGTCAGCGTGAACATCAAGCGTGGCTACTTTCGGAAACGCTGCTTCTCCTTCGGTTGGAGCTGATACTCCAGATGTGCACAATGGAGAATGCCGTGGATTCTGTTTCTGGCATGGGTCTGCCAAGTCGCATCTAATTCCAAACGACAGGGCAATGGTCTCTTGAAGTTTCGATCCACCGTCAAAACTCCTTGCGATCCATGTTGCCTCGAGCTGTGATGCGCGTCGGTATGTGAGATACGGCGGAATGGAATGGCGTGCTGTTGTAACTAGTAGCTTCAGCTCCGTCCGCTCAAGGGTTTTTCTTAGGGCTTCCAACATTAAAGCCTTGGCTCCGGGGCCTCCCACAACAGGTGCAGCAAACAGAAAAGGGCATAACCGAATACATTGTGTCGAACACAGGTGAGTTTCGCGATGTCGCAATCGTTGCACAGAAAAATTTCTCTGAGTAGTTGTCCCAGCATGCAACCTCCTTCTGTCGACATGTCAATACTTGGGGATGCGAGCAACTCGTTTATCACTCGCCAGATGAGTCTTTCATTTTTCGCGAGCTTGTCGAGATCCGCCTGGAGAAGATCTACCAGCAGGAGAGCCACAGCGTGTTCGTAGTCATGTACGTGCAAGACACGAGCTGCAGATCGCTCTGACGCCCGTTCCTGAGGAGGCAGAAGTCAAGCGACAGAAGTCGCAAGCCAGTCTTGGAGGCATTGACTGTCTTCTGAAAGCTCTGGAACACTGCCCTGAAAAGACGCAGGTAATTCCAATCCAGAGCAGGACAGCGCGCACAAGCAGCGGCGCATCGTGTTTCAGACCATGGAGTTAGGTGAGGAATCGCTGTGTTGAAATGGATTCTTAAGCTATGAAGTACCCTCACAGCATCAGTTTCTTGCAAGCTCGATGAAAGGATGCGGACGTGTCGAACAAAGCAGAGGCTGGCCTCAGAGGACGTTCCGGGTGAAAGTCGGCACATTCACCAATTGCTTGTCGCGAGCAAGAATATCACCCTTCAACTCCTCCTCACAAGAACCATCGTTTGTTGTTGAGATGTAAAGCTTGTGTCTTATGTTCAAGCCGCAGGGCTTTCTAACAGCGTCAAACTCAAGCGGCGGCAAGGGAAGCTTGCCCCTCCCGCTAGCCCCTATACCCGCACACCACGAGCTTCAAAGGGGCAGAAAAGCCCCCATAAGCTTTCATGCGGCGGAGTATGGTTGTGTCAGTTTTTTCCCCCTTATCAGACAAAAGCCTTAATTAGTAGCAGCACTAGCAAGAATAATACCAGTATACATAGTACAAATCGTGCCAATAGCAACCCACTCTCCAAACCGTTCCAAGCAAACAAACACACAGACGGACAGACAAAACGTGCTAACAAAGCATATCTCTCTCTGACACTGCCTCCCCCGATCCTGCTTCGCACCGTCCAGCTCCAACTCCGCAGCGGTGAGGACAGGCCACAGCCACAAAGGCAGAAGCACATGAGATGAGGTTCTTGGCTGCTGGGACATGTACAGCACAAGCTGCACGCATGTCTGACTGTCCGGCTATCCGTCAGGAATTCTGACCGTCTTCGCCGTCGCGGGTGCCCCCTGCAACGAGTAATCCTTCAGCAACGTTTGTTTGTCTCGCTCTCCCTTCTCTGTCTATCCACACAGTCTACACACAAACGCACAAGACACCCCCGGCCACACATGCTCTAACGCTGACTTTACAATTTCCAGCCAGGAAGAGACTGTTACGTAAGGGTGAGTCTGGAGCCGCACCTGATCCCTTCTCAACTCGTGGAGCTGGGCAGCACGCCACACACCGCAGGAAATTCGCCTCAAGCCCGACCGTCCGGCTCTCGCTTTCGGGGGCGTCGATGAGTGGCATGTGGAGTCCACACTTCGGTCGGCTCGACGAAGGCCTGCTATGAAACGCAAGACTCTTCCGCGAGGCATCCGTGAGGCAGATGGCTTTCTTCCCAAAGCACGGGCAGTCGCAAAAGTCGAATGCGGAGGTGAAGGATTTCAAGGTGCTTTCCGTCCAGTGTATGCGGGAGCTCGAGTCGCCACCTCATACTTTGCTATGGGCCCGTTCCCGATACCCCAAAGCCCTTAGCCCAGGTTGTATCTGCACAAGAGGCTCTTCATGAAGGATCAGGCGCGAAAACACAAGCCTGCTGGATGCATGCTTCATGTTCATGAGAAAAGCGGCTGCGGCCGATCATGGCTTTCCTGTCAATGCATCATCGATCTTGCGAGACTGCATGCATAGCATGCATCAGGTGATCGTCCATCAAGGCACTGACTTACAAGATGTGCATCCTGGTCATATATAGAGCCATGCGCTGTTCTTGTCTCACGAGGCGTACATCCCCGAAGTCCAAGGTATGTTCTGCAGCAGGGTACTTGCGAGGCCAAAGTGTTTGGGGCCAGCTTCGAAATCATGAAAGGCCGGCCTTTGCCTGTTCACTCTACAGCACTGCTGCAGCTGTTTTTTTTCTCAACTTCTGCTGAGCTCGGAGTTCAGGCCACTGCGTCATAGGCGGCCTCCCATCGGTCCTCACAAAGAAAGTGTTTACGACTGTGGTCGCCACGGCCGCTTGTCACACACAAGAAGAGGAAGGTGGGTTTGTGCATCAGTGTTTGGACAAGAAAAGCTTGGAAACTCGAAGTACAGCGATGTAACCTCTGCTGGCTCTAAGTGGGCGGCTGGCCGGATGAGGACCTTGCCTGGTAGCTCTCTCCGTTGATCCGATAGTCAACCTATCTTAGGATAAAGGAGTATGGACAGTGACCGAATGTTTTTTGCATCTGCCAGAGCAAGTTTCTGCGAGTCCACATGTGCGCAAAATGCAACGACAACGGAAACACCAGGCCCATCGCAGAAGGTAGTCCAGCATCACATTCGTGATTCGATGATGTTATGTCTTCTCCAGTCTCTCGAAACGACATCTGAGGAACCTTGTTTTGTCGTGAAGATCTCACAGAGACACTTCAACGCGATGTTGGACAAGCTCGAAGCCCAGTTGATGCCATGACTGGACAGCTGATTGAATGGGTCACGAAGTCGTGAGGCTGAGCATGTGAGATTGCTAGTGCATGCACCCATGCGTTCGTGTGAGTTGGGACGGTCGTTGATGCTGGGTGGTGCTGTTGTTCGTTCTGTTGGATATTGATTTCATGTGCTGTTGGATAGCGAATAGCGACGTGGCATTATGGCAGGAGTTATTAGGCACGTTCGCACGTGCCTTCCATACCCCGCTTGACACCACACAGACCCACAGTATCAGCCCGCTCACCGCATCCACACTGGTTTTCACGATCTGCGCCCGAAAACAATGACCCAGCCCTCACAGTCGACCTTCATTGGCGCCTTGCGGCATCAGCCATACACAACCCACACCAATCGAGGCAACCATGAAACCAGCGGGGTAGCGAAGGCTTTGGAACGTGGCTCCGCCTCATGCATTAGCCTTAAAGGCATAGACACTTTTGCTTGGCTGAGGTATCCGGACGATCGCAAGAAGCTGTTTGCTGCTGCCAACCGTGTCGAACTGACATGTGTTGATAGGCTGTTGGGTGGAATGTGGTCGTTTCGCGACTTGTGAGAGTCGGACGTCCTGAGCACCAACCAGCCAGGCCTTCAGCACGATGTGCGACGACTTCCAACAGAATGTGTGGATCGCACAGGCACATCTGAGATCGTGTGTATAGAACAGGACCCATCACTAAAGATGTCCGAATGCCTGCCCGAAGCACCAGCTTGGTGCTGCAGATGCATCGGATACCTCTTTCAAAACTTCATTGCAATAAAGCCCCTCTCTGCAGACAAGAGGATGTGAGAGCCTGTTGAGCGAGGCCATAAAAGCACTAAACCCCGGAGTGATGCTCACCTAATTGAAAATTTTGTCTGCTGTTGCAATGAGTTGTCTGCAGACTCATGCAGAGCTAGATAATGATTCAGGACCTTTGCAAACCCTCCTTTGTAGTAGCCCCGAGCAGAACCGAGCAGGACCCGACGGTGGATTATTCCTACACGTGCAAAACTTTGCTGGACTGAACGGACGGCTTGAGAAGAGCTTGACTCTCTCTTTCCGAACGTCATGGAGCGGCCCGTGACTCCGTGTGTCAGGTATCCATAGACAACCATAGTAAACTGGCCAAGCACACAGAATCTAGGGTGGGAAGGTCGGCCAGGCAATGTTTGGTTGCAAAACGCACACACGGGCCTGTGATGTGTAGTACGAGGTGCTCTTGCAAAGTGATAGGGGTTGTGAGTCTGAACTCAGAGCCGTATTCGCAGGTTCAAGACCTTTCAGAAGACACTTTGTAAACATGCTCACAAAGTTACAGAAGTTCGGCTTGCTGAAAGCTTCGCGCTGCCGTGCTCCGGAGGCTTTCCAGGAGCAACTCGGTGCAATGCCGTGTCTTGCTGGTGCCGGTGTGGAGAGCGGCTGGCATGTTTTCTCCCCTTGCAACTCAACTGGCATCATCGATGCATCGGGGCTTTCCACGGCTGTGCTGCTGGCCGATACGGTGCCACCTCATTTCCCCGCATCATAATATGCATGCCATTGTCAGCAGGGACACTGGCACCGTGCTGACATCACCCTGTAGCCTTGCAGCTAACGTCAGGTTCCTGGCAGCTTTAGCTCATGTTTTGGAGCCACGGCTTCTGCTTCCGGCGCAGGACTTGTCACATGTTGCCTTCTCGCGTGGATGAGGCACCAGTGCTGTTCGATTTGACAGGAGATCTTTCTGGCCAGCGGCAAGGTTGGGCATGCATGTGTTCAATGTGCTGACAGTCGAAAGTCAAAATCGTTAAACTGATGAGTGATCCCACTCCAGAAACGTGGTTACAATTTGCGGTGATGGCTACCACAAGTGATCTGACTCTTCTGTAGAAGTTCAGAAAAGCTCGGACACGTTCGGGGAGTGTTGTCCTATGTTGTTCTCGATTAACCAAACAGTCTGGCATCAAAGCTCCTACCTTACAAGGGTAAAGACGATGCAGAGGATTTTGTTGCTGGGCCCGTGCGGAGCCGATGGTCGCTTCCGCGGATCCGAAGGTTCCTAGCAAACTACTTTTCGGCTCTCGCACTTCACTTACCACACTATCACGGGTGGAAATCCCGCTCACGCAGTGGAGCCGGGCAAAAGCGACGTCTCCAAATAAAGTCTGAAATGGTGCTCTCGTCACAACGCGGCTGCATCTTGAGGTTTCGGCAAGCATTCCTTGGACGGGTTGCCACTTCTACTGTCGGCAATCTCTTGCCAGAGTCCTGGGCGCGGGTCGTCTTTGAGTTGGTCTTGGAATGTCGTCCTGGGCTGCCCGGGGTGACCGAAATTTGGATGGTGAGCCGTTTGCTGACCATTCTTCAGTACGCAAAGTCATCTCATAGCGGTACTGTAGCATGCTGCTCTAAGGACTGCAGCTTTGTTGGCACTTTTGTCTGGTCTCGCAACAAATACGCATACCGATAGAAGCCCTGCCGGCTCGAGTCTTCTCTCGGCACCGCTGTGATCCCATCAGACTTCACCGCTCGAGACAGTGAGTGCAAGTTATACGGCTGGGCAACCACATGTTTGGTGAATTTTGCTGACACTACGGTTGCTGATTCCAAAGTCATGTCCAAGCCCGGAGAAGCTGTTCTGAAACGAGCGAATACAAAAAGATGCACTTACCTCAACCATGCCACCATGCGGTGCAGGAAGACTCTCCAGATCTCTACTTCGTGTTCGAAGGACTTTGTATGTACTGCTTTGGTAACCTTTCTTGTGACCCGCAGTGCAGGACATTTCCACTGCTTGCAAAAGGGAGTATGCACCTCATTTTGGTGCCAATCTCTTCCGACACACTGCGTCGTTTCGGCGTAACTGGACATGAGGCAGTGATGGGGACCATTTCGCCAAAGGCAAAGGGTTTGACGCATTCGTGCCACAATTCGAGCAGTTCTGGGCGCCCCGTGTTCAGATGGTTTTCGGCGTCTTGGAAGTCTTCGGAATCAACGACGTCTCCAGCGACATGAGGATTTATTCCGACGAGATTTGCAAGGCTTCACTGTCGGCCCATTTTGTACTTTACAACAAGCAGGTCTGTGTGGGGTGCAAAACAATTGCAAAACAGGTTGGGGTCCTGACACAAGCGCAGCTCTGCGACTTGCTGCACGAGTTCCCACAGGCACGTTTCAACTTCGACTGAGTCAGTACGATGATGCGGTCAGTCTGGTTCCGTAGCAGGAAAGGGGCAAGTTCGAAAAGCTTGTGCACAGTCTCATGGAAGACAGTGTAAACCACCACCTCGCCCTGGCCTAAGCGATGCTGCATGAAGCGATACTTGCATGGCAACGCGGCTTCTCTCTGGATGTTGCGAGAAAGCACAGAACAGCCAGGGGGGTCTTTTCAGATTTGAAGGTCATGTTGCCATTCCTCTCCGGCTTGAACAATCAACAGATCCTGACGGTTGATATCTCGGCATCTTCAGTTTGTATCCCGACCAGACGGTGTTCTTGGATAGCTCCGCGGCTGGACAGAGGTTTGCCATTTGTTGGACAGGAGGTTTCTGCTTCCGGACGCCGAGCACCCAGCACAGAGTACTCGCAAGTGCTGCACTGGGTAAATCCTTTGAGACATCTTGGACACGCTTAAAGCTTAGAAGGCAGCCGACTGCTCTGAAGCCTGAAGTCCGACACCTCCTGAGGTCACGATAGTGAAAGAAGGATGCTGTCGCTGCGCTGAGCATGCCCTGGCAAAGATACAGTCAAGCCAGAACCTGTTGATCCGGAAGGAGATGGCGGCGACTTCATGATGGTACTGAACTGTGGCAAGGCAAGGCTCAAGTCATTCTCGAAGATTGGATAGAGTGTGGCCAAGAGATCTTGTCTTAACTCTACTGCAGAATGTTCCTGTGGGACTTCCCTCCAGCAGTCTCAAGCTTTGAGGTTATCAGGTTCAGGCCAAGTTACCAAGAGCCTTTGCCTGTACCCGGCAGATCCCAGAATCCCTTGCGTGCAGGTTGAGGTTCTCTACAAGGACGTGAGCATGGGTAAGCTTCTGGCGGGAAAGGCCCTCAAGAAGATCTGGTAAGACGGGAAATGGTGAGTCAATGTGAAATCCTCCGGTTCGCATGTAGCTCGGAGGCATTCGGCGTAAGCCAAATGATGGGATTACATACTCGCTACCATGCCACCTTGAAGGCGAAGAGGCTCGAAGTCACATTTCGCTTAATCTGTCTCGCGCGACCCGGAATGTCTGCAGTTTCCCTGCAGTACTTGCCACATTCTCTTGATCTTCTGGCACATGTTGAGCGGCCTGGCCTTCCACTGAGATTCATTCTGAGATCCGCTGAACTGCTGCCTGACTGTCCTGACTGTCCGACGTGCCTAGATCAGCACTGCCGCGGACTTGACCTGGGTGCAAGCCATGAGGCGTCAGGCGCAGGCAGTCCGGGAGTCCAGCATTTAGCATCCATGCAGAGTTGTTCAGCTTTGCCAGGAGATCTACGACTCTGAAAGCGCAGGTTTCGCTCGCAAGCTACAGCAGAAGTCGAACATGGCACGATCAAGGCTGGGATCTCCTTCCAGCTTGTGCATTTAGCTCATCTGATCGTCATACACAAATCAGCAATGAGACAGAAGACCCGAGCCGATACCTGCCCTGACGAATCAATACACTGGCAAGTTCCAAGCTCGCACGTGCTTGGCCGGGGCATGCCGCGACTCCACAGACGTATCGTGTCTCCTTCAGCCCTTGGATTTGCCATGGTGTCAAGACGTCGAGACTTCCTTTGCTCATTGCTCATCTTAGTCCAGAATTCGACCTCAAGCAATCTGAAGCAGTTTTTGCGGGAATCATTTAAGCTCTCACAAAGGTCTGCGGTCAAAGGCCGATGGCCGGCGCACCGGAGCCCGCAACGCACGAACGGTTTAACATCTGTGTAAAACGATACGGCGAGCATTCCCTGAGGACGGAGCATTGGCTGTGGGCCACACGTCGAATGCTTCACAGGTAGTAAGCCCGACTTAACTTGATTCGTTGAGGGAGTTAAAGGTCGTACTGCGAATGTGACGATAGTCAGTCAAGTCAGACGTATTGAAACACTGCTCCTGCACTATGATGTGGGCTATGATGCTTTCGGGGAGTTGGAAGCGGCACATACATGTTCCCCACCGCCTCCCTCGGGGGACAGGCATCTCCTGATGGACAATGTCAACATCGTCACGGGGCTTTGGAGCTTGCGTGACATACTGCAGGAGTGGTACCAGGACCGCCATGCCATCGATTGCACAAGATGTTTCGTGTCTTGCCGCGCTGCGCGTCTCGAGCAGGTGGCCAGATCGGGGATCCTGTCAGGACGGGATGACTCAATGACGCAGGCCGCAGTGCTGAGAGTATTGCAAACTAAGAGCAACAGCCAATGCTTCCTTCCGCCGGCTGATGCAGCAAACCAATGCGAAGTGGTTGTTGTCAAGCGACTCCTTTTGAATGACCCGGCACTTCCCAGGTGAAAGCATGTCCTACCTTGTCGTTACTCCCGTATACTTGTATGATCGTGTATGTATGTATGTATGTATG